TCCGCGTGCTTGGCACTCCATCGCTTCCTCCAAAACTGCAACCTTCAAGTTTGACCAGCGACTGCAACTTCAGACCTAGCTCGGCCAACCCATCGTCTCTCACCCTCACCCCAGTTTCACTCGTATAACACCACTGTTATTTTAATCTCACTCTTTGCCAACTTCAAACTCGAAATGTACTCCTCAATAATTATTCTCCGTTTCTGTCTTTTCACTTTTTACTGTAATAGCTCGAAATAGTACACACAATCTCAATGTAAATTTCCACAATTTGTATATTTTCTGTCTTTTAAAAATAAAGTAAGTGCGCATACCCCTCGCTGGGTCCATGCACTATAATATAAAAAAAAAAAAATTCATACTTATCGGACGACTGTTTGTAACTTCCTTTTAAAATGTTCTTGCATTCATGACATTTAGCGCTAAAATATTCTTTTTTAAATATAAAAGCACATGGATATGAAAAATATGTAGCATTAATTACTCTAGACTTTGTAAAAAATACTGCCAAATGTGCTCACTAACACGACGAGCTTTGACCCGCAGCGAGGTGGTGGACGAGGGTCGTACTTTACACGTTTACACGTGGGCACTGAGCAGGCCTGCAGTTCCGCATTGGCAACGTAGACCGGCAGATAGTGACCGATAATAGGTGCTGATTTTTGAACTTATGCCCTTGAAAATTCTGAAACATACATCGATAACAAGCTCAAAAAACGGAATATTACGCTGTATTAGCGTGGCAATATATTTCAAAGTACATATCGATTTGTAACAAATTTTGGCCTCGTGTCATGATTTTATAATTCATGCAATTATTAAAAGATGATAGTTTGGCACTGATCGAGTATTTATATAGCTAGGCATAAGAGCACCAAGTGTTCTTTGATATAGATTGATATGGTCATAATGTAAGAAAAACCCATGATTGTGTGCTGAAAAAATAATGGCATAAGTGCCACTTGTAGACATAAAAATCTAGACTCTACAAAAGTTGTGCAATATTTCGGGTTTAAACATCTTTCACATCTTTAGATTACAGGTAATTATCTTTGAACAAAGGGTTATATCACTGAACTGATTTTGATCACTGAAGCATACAAATTCGTTTTTCTACCACTATTTATAATTTTTTCATAATTTAATTTTGAATTAAATTATTTTTCAATATTCATTTTTCAAATTCAATCGTACGTATTGATTACCAGTTACATTATATACATCGAAAGGTTCGTATCATTGAAAAAATAATCTCTTTATAGTCATCATCGACGGCAATGAAGATGCAACGATAACGATTAACGTTTTAAATGAGATCATCCTAAAAATATTTTTTTATACACTTTATACTAAGAAACGATAGTTTCAAGGCCTATTCGGGTGTGCGAACAATGTGGAAAAAGTAATAGTTTCTCTCCGTGAGTAAATGCCCGAAATTCGTGGTTTATCCGGTGAAAACCAAACATTGCGGAAAATCCGACCACACGATCAGAAAATTTATTCTTTTCTTAGCACATTTCGATACTTTTTTGTTTGAGTTAAAAATTTAGCTCGTACAGAAAGCTCGAAATGTAGCTTCTGCCCGAATAACGTCGGAATTTCTATTATCTTTTCCACTTAGAGCGATACGATCATTTTCTTTATCGGCTCGAAGCACACGCACGAAGCGAATTATTATATTACAGTCAGTACACGTTACGACGCAGAAGCGTGAACGACAAAAGAAAGATACAGAATTTGTAATTGTGTATTTTGCATTATAAGCAATTCTGTTTGCGTGAGTGCGTGAAAACAATGGACCAAGAAATAAATCACGAGTTTCTTCGTAAACTTTATCCTCTGATGAGAGATTACGAGGGTCAACTCCCGAATCTGCGAGACATTTTTCGGCCCGAAGCTATTGAACAGCTTCTCATGGAGTCCATAAGCCAGAAAGTTTATAACGGTCTCGATCCAAAGCCATTCATCAGATTTGTGATCAACACCGGCTACAAGGACGAACCTAAGGTAGATCAAAGAGGCAAGATAATTGTGCGTCGCACTACACCGATTCATCTCGCGACTAATATGTTCGCCTGTTCTGAGGTTTTCGATGATCTATTTCAAATATACGACAGATTCGACGTGAATTACATCGACGACGACGGCGACGGCGTCACACATTTTCATGTAGCCTGCTGGTACGGCCTCTATGACATCGTCGAGAAATTCCTCGAGCTCGGTCTGGACCCGAATGTCCTCGTGCCTAGAATGGGCCACTTGCCGCTACTGCACTGGGCTCTGATCTGCGAGCACAAGCAGTTGATCGAATTGTTGCTGAAATATGGAGCAGATCCGAATGTAGCCAACGACAAGGGAGAGACTTCTCTACACATCATTTGCCAAAGGTACAAGGATGGCGATGGCTTGGCGGATTTTTTCTTCAAGGTCAACGAAAAAATCAATCGAACGGTGGAGATCGATGCAAAGGACAAGTTGGGTAACGCACCATTGCACTTAGCTGTGAGTACTGGCAACAAGTATAACCTAGTCGAATGCCTGCTAAGGAGAGGCGCTGATCCCAATTCAGCCAATGCAAAGGGATCAACTCCTCTGCATATTATTTGCGATAGATACGACGATGCCGATGGCTTGGCCGAGTTTTTCTTCATTATGAACAAAAAAATCAAGCGGACAGTGGAGATCGATGCAAAGGACAAGTTGGGCCGTACACCACTGCAATTAGCTGTGTTGAGCCTTGCAGCAAAAACTCTCGATGTACTCTTGAAATACGGCGCCGATCTGTCCAGCTTTCCTTTTCCCTCTGAGAGTTATTTTGCTAGGAATTTGGATCCATCGTCTCACGAGTTTATGTTTTGCTTTTATATAAATAGATTGAGATTGGGGTCTCGCGCTCTGATTATGGTCGACATGCTCAAGAATCGAGGATACAAACTGAACCTAGGCGACGCCCTGAAGATCATGGGACTTTTCACCAAGTACAGATCCCATTATGAGCCGATGAATCTCGATGCATCTTGGTACGACGACGAGGAGTTCGCTAGAGAAGCAAGAATAATAATGATGAATTCTGGTCTTTCGCTGTACGACTTGGTCAAGTTAAGGCCCGAAGAGGCGGAAGAAAAACTCACCCATTCGGATTATTACGACTTGGCGTGCTCGAATAAATTGTTCAAGCTATCCGAAAAGCTTCGTCAAGCTTGTACTGCGCATCTGTGCGAGACGATGTCGAGAGGATTCTTCCTGCGATGGGCCCTGGACTCATTTGCGGTGCTGGTGCGCCACGATCGACTGCCAATCGAGTGCGGTGAATTGATAACCAATGGTATATACACGAACAGAGATTTACATAATATTTGCTTGGAAGCTGCAGGCCTAGGCATCTGACGACATTAATCGTATTGCCAAGTCTTTGTTATAATGTCTGGAGTCATTACATCTTTCACATCATTCGAATAAATAAATTTAAAAAATAACCCATCGAATCGAGTTATTCTTTACTTCGACTTAATTGAACAAAAAAAGTCTGCCATTCGTTCGATAATCAGCGCGTTAATATCCGCGTAGATTTTCAGATTCTTCCCGGCGGAAAAGGGCAGCTGGCAGATCAAAAGTTCCAAAAAAAGTCACGCGTCTCTGCGTATTGGAAGTATTGGAACGTATTATGGACAGCTCAATCGTGCATCCAAGCTCTATAAGCCCCCATTAGTATATTACTGCCCTAGGTCGGGAAAAACAGAAAAGTCCCAGGCCATTAGAAACGCGTCGTTTGCGCTCAATGGGTTTATAACGAGTTCTCGAGTCTGCGAGTCGCTGCTTCATATAATGCTTTGCGTCGGTAGCGGCAGTCTGCTATAGTCCAATGGCCGAGTAACGCGTGTCTTCGGTGCCACCCTCTCAATATAGTATACACATTGCACACACACACAAATACATACGTATATCGGGGTGTGTAACCCCCAGCAGCAGCAGCAGCAGCCGAAGCAGACGCCCTGCTCAGTCACAGCCCCACGCTATACGTATGACTTTGTACCGCGTGTAACGTCGTCGTTGTTCGTGTATTATTTTAACGAAGAGAGAGAGGAAAAAAAAAATGATTCCACGAGCCTCGCGGTGAAAGTGAGTTAATCGGCGCCGCAGAGAGAGAGAGAGAGAGAGAGAGAGAGCTTTTTTAAGCTGCGCATCTTAGTCTCATAAGATCTCGAGAGTCGCGAGCGTGCCGTGCGTGCCTCCGATTCATTTTGCTTCGCGACTCTTATATACGTCGTTTTTTCGTCGTGCAATACAATAATACGAATATCTCGCGAAGCCGTGCGAACGCGTGTTTTTGTTGTCGTTGGCCAGCCGCAGCGGCGCAGCTCAGTGCAGAGTGCAGACCTGCGTGTCTACATATATATACGTATATACGTATCGTGCTTGCGATGCTGACTTTTCGAGAGAGCGGCAGCGGCAGCAGCAGTAGCAGCTAGCCCCCGCGCCGCAGAGTATATAGTATATAAGCAGTGCGAGCAGCAGTCGAGCGTTATTATAGAAAACTGCCACCGAGACGACTATATATCACTACTACTGCTGCTGCTGCTGCTGCAGAGACACGATTTTCTGCGTGTGCAGCGGTCTCACGGCTCTGTGCAGTTCGCTGCCGCTGGCCAACGCGTCGACATGATTGTCTGCTAAAGCAAACTCGAGGAATTTCGTTCATGTAGTAGAGTCGTCGTGGTGACACCGCTGCTGCTGCTTTCTGTCTGTCTGTCTGTCCGCGATAGAAAACGCGGAAGTCCACGGCCAGGCGCGACTTTTATACACACTCTACGATAGTTCTGGCTCGCGTCTCCGTCTCTCTCTCTCGCGTTTCCTAGTTTTTTTAAAACAAAAAAAAAACACTCGCACAGGCGTAAATCTCGTTCGAGTGGTATATTAACGTTGAAGACAAAAACAAAGAAAAAAACAGAAGATAGAAGCAATAATACAGGGACGAAACAAAAGTGCCAATCGACCACGCCATGGGCTCCATAGTGCTCAAGTCGCTGTCGGTGCTGCTCGGCATATTCTTCGTGTTCGTCGGCACGATGAAGCTCACCTCCCACATAAGCAAGGACTTGCACAAAGATCTGGTGAGTACGATGCTTGATATTATAATGTAATGTAAAAAGTGATCGTGCACCGCACCCCCCCGTACAGAGTATACACATAACGGTGTATATATATAGCGCATATATCGAAAGGGCGCACGGAGGAAGCCGCGATTCGATCGATAACAACAAAACACGCGCGTCGGATTTCGGCCGCTGAAATACCCCCATAAAGGTATATTATATTATTATAGGACCGTAACACCGTAACCGGTGTGTGTGTACATTTGTTTGCGCGCGTGTCCGAGCGCTGCGTGACCTTATGTAATTCGATGTATCGCACGCGCGCGTGGCAGCGACGAATTCATCCCCCGCCGACGCGATTCGGAGCTCTGAGCTTAATAAACGTCAAAACAACAACGACAATGACAACAAACAACAACGGAGCTCGATTTAAAGTACTTTTGCGAGGCCGAGCTTCTCGATACGTATCGAGTTTTGCTTTTTGCGCTCACACACATACAGAAGAGAGCCTGCACACACACGCACACCCATTCACAGATGAAAAAAAACAGCCTCGCGCGTCGAACATTTATTTATAAATAAAAGCTCCTATATGCTGTGCGCGCGGCGTATATATTATAGGCAATCTGCGGCTGCTGCAGCTGCAGCTCGTGACGTTTGCGCACGAATTATTCACGGGGCAGTTTTATAATCTCGATGATATTATTATCACGGATAATCATGTGTGATTAATTATGGGAATTTTCCGTCGAGACGTCGACCTGACGCCGCTATAAACTTTGGGGAGTCTCGACGCTGTCGGTCAATGTTGCATAATATAATTATAATATCGGCGAGCCGAAAGCTCGACTCGCGTCTGCGTGCGTGCGAATGTATATAATACACATCGAACGTGCCAAATCAGCAGCCGGGCCATTGGGTCAGAGGTTCGTGACCATATATATTTATTATAATCGGGTCGCTGCCTCGAGAGAATCGTCTTCGTTCTATCAGAGGGGGCTATATACAGTACTCTCGAAGTCGCGTAATTATAAATTCGCCGAGCGACGGTCGGGCGTTCGTATATGAAGAAGAAAACACGTGTTATACGCTTGTATCTAACTACTTTACGAAATATCCTCCATCGATGCGAAAAATGAAATTCGATACTACACCGTCGATATCGATCGGACGCTCAGACGCGTTTTTGGCTATTTTCCGACGAATACGGGAAATCGTGTCGTATCTTGGCACGCGTCTGTCGACCTTTCAAAGGCTGTGTGCACGTAAGCGGAGCTTTGTTTCATCCGTATATACATCTTTTTAATTTTTTTTTGTTTTGTTTTTTTTTTTCTGCTCGCAGAGAAAGGAATACGTCAAGTACGCCAAAGTCTTTCCGCTGTCGAGCACGCTGGACTTCAAGGTGCCGAGCAAGTGGTATCGCCGAGTCGTCGGCGCGCTCGAAGTCATGTGCGGCCTCGCCATGGCCATCGTACCTAGTCGTGAGTTATCATATATACAATACAATTTTTAGATACAGTTGCTTCATTCTTCTTTTATCTCTCTGTCTCTCTCTCTGTGTCGCAGATAAAATAAAAAACGTCAGCAACGGAATTCTGGTGCTGCTCATGATGATGGCCGTCTACTCGCACTACATGGTCAACGACAAATTCGAGAGGATCGCCCCGGCACTGGTGAGGGCGTACACAGTTTTTTTATCTTCTCATTTTATTTATTTTCATCTCTTCATCTTGACGAGACGCGTGTCGTTTCGGAGTACAAAAACAATAATACTCGCGAGTGACATCGAGTCGTCGAGCTGTCTAAGCTGCACGACTCTCTCTATCGACTCTATATACACAGTGACGACGTTTTTCCATTTTTTTTTTCGCAGGTATTTTTCTTCATGCTGACGGGTCGCCTCGTAATAGACTGGCAGCTGAGAAGGAAAGCCGAGCTCACGGCGACCGCGAACGGAGTCGATGACAAAACGAAGAAGCAAGACTGAACGACGACGACGACGATATCGCTCTCGTTATGCTTTTGTTCTCTTCGTCGCGTCGAAGCAAACGTTCAACGAACATTATATATTACATATATAATTAAAAATATATATAAACGACGGGAGGGCGAGGATATGCCTCCGTCGGCGTATACTCGATTGTTTAAGTTTTTTGCACCTTGGAATATAAGAATCTAGTCGGACGATTGTAACGATAAATATATATATATTTATATTTATTATATACATTTGATTGTTTGTATTAAACAGTGCCGGATTTTGCCGGGGGGCACGAGTGTTTTGATGCGTGCGAGTGCGTGTGTGTATCGACTGTTGTTCGGTGTTTTACACGACGACGACGAAACAAATTTAATATACGATGCGCGGCGACAAATTATTTTACAGTGAGAGAGAGAGAGGCTTTTTATAGACGCGCGCCCGGTGTCGAGCGAAATTCGAGAAATCGAAACGAGATATTGTACAACACACACACACACTCGCACACAAACACACGAGATGTCTTCTGTAATAATATAGTCATCGAGTCGCGTTGATGATATTAATACGATTATTGTAATGCTCGCGATCGCGCGAGAAACTCGTAATTAGTCAATTATCGCTTGTTTTTATGTTTTAGGATGATTGATGTACATTTGTGTTATTTTAAAAATTATGTCGTGCGCTTGCGAGAATGTGCGAATGCGTGTGTAAGATTTATTATTTTTTTTTTGTTTGGTCATTAACTCGCGGAATGCGAGAGAAATGTCGCTAAATGATTTTGCGTGTGTGTTTACAATCGATGCTTCCAAATTTAGACGGATTGGCAAACGATGGACTATGCGCCGTGTACGCGCCAGTCTTCTTTTCGGGCCAATTTCGAGCGTGGTGTTGTATAGCGCGTGGTGGCCTTTTTCGAGCGAGGCTCGTCGACGACGTATATGCGCCGCGTTGCACCAAATACGCGTGCCACGCGCGAAATACAATGTCTTCTTGTTGCCGATTTTGTAAGCGGTTTTTAATGTCGGATATTGTGTGCGAAAACAAAGCAGAGAGATACAGTCGCAACTGCACGAGTTCTGATCTGTTTTTTTTTTTTTTTATATATATAACACTGAGGACGTGTGCATAGACACAATGTCACGTTGCTCAATTGGAGAGAAGGCTATATTTATAATTATTATACATAGCGAAGATAAAAAAAATCATTTTTACAATACACGAGTCAAAAGTGTAAACTTAGAGGCAATTGCACGCACATGCGTCTAGAATATTAGCATAGATTATATTCATTACGAAGAGCACAATCGAAAATGTAATCGCGTAGCTGTGTTACACATTCTGGATTATACGAGAGGATGCGAGACGTCGAATTTTGTAAAACAATTTGTAATTCAATTTTTATGTCAAATCAAACACGAGTGAAAAATCAAGAGTTAATTTGTGTCAAAGTACGAGAAAATTTAATCTCGTTCAATGTGGCTCGACGTTGTATCGACATTTTTTCAATCAAGCAATGATACTTCCAACGAAAGTTTCTTTTGTACATCACTATTTGTAAATTACGATGCGTATGAGCTGTTACATATGATTTGTTCTTTGAATAAAAACAAAAACGTTTATCATTAAAACATGTCTTTTTCGTAAAATCTCGAAGCATATATAATTTTCTTTTATTCTATGTCAAACTTATTATACAAACATCATTAAAATTTATGTACAAAATATATGCATATATTTTTAATTATTAGCGCGGAATATACCGTCAAAGAGTATCGTAGCGTGTCGACTTGCAGTGGAACAAAATAACTATTGGTTTTAATAATTAATAGTTACTATCTGTGTGTGATGGGACTCATAGAAAATTATCATTATCATCATTATGAACATTAAGCAGGATCAACGCCAGTTTTCAAGAGAGTCAGAGCTTTCTCCAAATTCAAAATTGCGGTGCGCACGTCGTCGTAATCCAATGCGCTGCCAGCCCACTTGATGTACTTTTTGGCTTTGGTCGATTGTTCCAGCGACAGTTCCACTGCAGGGTACAGATATCGTTAGCAATGATGCAAGATGTATTGTTTTTTTTTTGTAACTTTTACACCTACCTCCAGTATCCGAAGATACGCTACTGGTGGGGGCGGGATTTCTCGGTGCCGGTGCTGGACTCACTTGCGGCTGTTGAGGTACTGAAATAAGAAATAAAGTATATAAAGTATATTTTATTACTGGATAAAGAGCATTGACAAAACTAGTATTTCTAGTTTGTGATGCAAAATTAATATGCTTGTGGAAGCAGCTGATTGAAAACCATTTAAGAAGTGAAGTTTCAAAATCAAAATTTTGTAATAAATAATAATTAAAATCGATTAAACTCACACTTGATAATTTTCTTATATTAATTATGAATAGCTAATAAAATTAAAATTAACTGCCAATAAAATTTGACTGAAATTATGCAGAAAGCAAGTGATATACATTTGAAAAATTATGTACCAGATTCATCGACGCTATCATCGTTATTTAAATCGGTGTTTAAATCTAAATAAAACAAATTTTGTAAATTTTAACAAATTATTCACAAGCAAATTCAAATTTGATTGCAAAGTTTACAAGTACCATCAACATTTTCGTCTTCTGTCTCCTGAACTACATCTACATATAAAACATTGACAGCAAAGGATAAATTATATATTTTATAAAAATTACAAATAATCTTATGGATTTATAATCATTAGATTAGGATTACCAGATTCATCATTATTATCTGGGCTTTCCGTAACTTCAGCAGCTTAACATTAAATTATTGATCAAATTCAGTTGAAAAATTTTTCTCATTTTGATACTTATGTAAAAAAAAGTTTGTACCTGGTGGCGATGGAAACTGGAAGGGTGCCCCTATATTTGTTGGTGGTGTAGGATGTGGCGGTGTTGATGGTAATGGAGGCACATTGGGCATCGTAGGCATCAACGGTTGCATAGGTTGTGCAGGAGTTGAGGATGAACCTATGGAATAAATCATCATGAATACCACTTACTAAAATTATAAAACTCGCTATGAATTATGAAAAGGCCTGATTTGACATTTCTAATAAATGATCAAAAGCTTATGAATATGACGATGGCATTGAATTATGATAATTCAAAATTACCAAGTACTTCATCATCACTTTCATATGCCTGATTATCTTCATTGTCTGCTTTGAGAAAATAAAATATTATACATAAAGTATATTTACTTAAGAATATTCATCAATTCATTTCAAATTAAAATCTCAATGCAAACTCTTGATTAAAATACTCACCATTATTACTATCTATAATACTTTCATTGGTATTATCATCATCGTTAACTGGAGGAGGTTCAGGAGTTTCTCCATTCTTTAAACAATTATTAATATACGTTGCTCTCCACTGGGCAAACTTTCGATTCGTTGTATTTTCTTCTGTTAGCTCTCCAAAAGTTGTTAGGACATCGTACAGTAGACCAGCGGTATAATAGCTAAGTACAAGGCTCATTGAGAATTTGGAAGCTCTGTCACTTGTATTGGCAGTAGTGAAAAGCTTGTATGCCCAGTTCTCTATGTACGCCTGTGCAGCAATCTCATTTGTAATGGATTCATTGTCGGAGTTGGATTTTTTGACTCCTTCGAGCCAGTCCATCACACTCAGAAGAAACGTCGTTTCCTCACTGGTTTTAGTGGATAACTTTAATCCAGTTTGTAATGCATAAAGGCGGCCTGCAAATATCGATTCGTCATTGATTTATTTAATTACATGATTTTCTGTCTAACGCAATGAAATAAAAAATAGTTTATCGACAATATCAAGCACATAACCGCAGAGCTTGACTCCGGGCGTACTTGATTGATAACATTTTGTTGTTAATACGACTTACACCAGTAACTGACAACGATGTCTTTGGCTTGGTAATTTTTGCCAGTCTTCAGATAAGGCTGGATAGGCTTTAATGGGGCTGGAATTTCCAGCTGGTCAAAATTTGCCATTTTTTCGTGCGAAGCTTTCAATAAACAAAGGCTTTCAAACTATCTATTCGTAAAACGACACTCTATATTTACTAGTGAATCAGACACTCGACGACGATCAGGTGTCTCACGATTTGCACGGCTTGTTGTGCTTGCATGATATCTATAGCCGATATGTCAGAAAATTTCAATTTCAATATTTACCATGGCAGAGATAATTGAACAATTACTTTGTAATTGCGAGTAATGTTTTGAATAAAAATTTTGATGCGCACAATTAGAGTTGTAAAAATATTTGGATTATAAAGTTTTATACCTTTGAATGTAAATTTCTTATAGTTCTTTATTTTTTATAAAAATCAGTAGTAATTCTAAAATAAAATGATTCTTTCAGATATCTTTTTGAGACAGTTTTGTTGTTATTAATAGTTGAACTCATCCTGATTATGTGAATGATACATTTAAAATTTATTTATCGCCATATGATTCTGTTTCAATTAGCATTTGATTACAAATATTTTATTTTATTTGTTAATAAAAACTTTCCAGCTCATGCGATCAAACTTGACTCAACGATAAATTTGTGGACATTTATCTCAAGTATTAATTAGTAAAATAATATTTAACTAATACTACTAAAATTTCACTTCAAGCTAATAGAACAAAAGTATTTATGGTAATATTAATATCTACGAAGAAGATTCAATGGTTTTGAAATGAATACACAATTTTTATTCTATTAAATTATTTTATTAACTTAACGTATATAAAAAAATTTTTTGTTTATCTGTTAGATTTGGCAACACGTTCCAATTCATCCTTCTTCTTGATGGCATAAGAGTTAGAACTTCCCTTAGCAGCATTGATCAGCTCGTCAGCTAGGCATTCAGCGATTGTTTTGATGTTTCTGAATGCGGCCTCACGTGCACCAGTGCACAACAGCCAGATAGCTTGGTTGACTCTTCTGAGGGGGGAGACATCCACCGCCTGACGACGGACTGTACCGGCTCTACCAATTCTGGTGGAGTCTTCTCTGGGTCCTGAGTTGATGATGGCAGAAACCAAAATTTGGAGTGGGTTCTCTCCAGTTAGGAGGAACATGATTTCAAATGCATGCTTGACAATTCTGCATGCCATCAGTTTCTTGCCATTGTTGCGACCGTGCATCATCAATGAGTTGGTCAAACGTTCAACAATGTTGCACAGTGCCTTACGGAATCTTTTCTGTGCATACCTTCCAGCGGAATGGGGCAAGAATCTTGCATTCTTTTCCTTGACAGAAATGTAATCCTGCAATGACATGTCATTGACATGAACATCTTCACAGGTCCATTTGCCAAAAAGCTTGATTTCTGGCATGGAGTCAGCATGATGTACTGCTGCTGCAGATGCAACTACTTCATTGGAGGCAGCATCAACCTCAGCATCCCAATTTTCAGACATGATGGAATTTTATCTATAACAAAAAAGAAAGCAAAAATTTACTTGTTATAATCATGTACATATGAATTAAATTCAGAAATTAAAAATTGCTACATCGAGCAAATTCGTACTATCTAAGCTCAATAAAATAATTAACTTATTAATTTTATTGATTAAAATAATAAGGTGTTTAAGGGTTGTAATTATAAAAGGAAAAATAAAATGTATATGATAACAAGGCCTGTTGATGCCGAGTTAACCTCTCGAATCGACGTAAAACAGCATTTTTCAACAAAACCAGCGATCACTATGCAATCGTGGGTGAAATAAGTAATTTTTACGTCAACGCACTTGAACCGAGCGACGTCACAATGTTGCACAAAAATTTATAACAATTGATTTTCGAATTTTTAAGTGAAAATAATGTACACTTACCATGTGTATGGTATAAAACACGAAGAGTAAAGAAACTTTTTTTTCGAGTGCGCAATGCCGCCGTGAGTTGGAATTTGGACCGTGGGGGCGCCGCTGCACCATTCAAATTTTCATCACCAGAATCGAACTTGTAACATATTTCGATTATAATTAATTAATTTTAACAATTTTATAGTATACGCTACAAGTAATTGAAATTTTTATTTTTCATTTTTTTTTTCTTGTAATTTTTCATAAATTATAATATTCATCGGTCGGGTATTTTTGGCAATAAAAATATGTAATTATAAATAAAAAGCACAGGTTGACTTAAATATCTATAATTATGAAATAAAATCGTTAAGTGAACTTATATTAAACGAGTTTTGATCCAATGTTCCGATGATGCAAATAATAATAAGCTCCAAATTAGCTGGGAATATTTGTATACTATTAAAAGCTCTAAAATTTTCTGACTAATGTGTAACAATTTCTCGAATAGAACATCGACTAATTGATGAAAACGGTGACAGTAAACAATACCCAATTTTTAGTTATCAATTGATTATGCTGTTCGATAGTGCATTCGGTTTGCAAGTCTCAGTACAGATGAAGTCCTTGATTTTTCTCCAACGACATGAATTACAATATTAATCGCACAGATTCGCTTCTCATAATTTTCTTCTGGTTCTTCGATACAGATCATGCGCGAAAGCCATCGTTTTTACGTCAACGACACGCAACACGCAATAATCGGAGTAATAATTCGATGTCATCGCCTAAATGCACTTGAATCTTGATATTTGTAATCCAGTCGCGAGGTGCATCTTCAGTCCCTGCAGTTTTTCTCAATTCTCGCGCTTCCACGTCGCGGGCCCCGCGCCTGCGTAACTCTATACCGACGTCAGAACGTGCGATTCATCAGTGCCATGTGGTCGCGGCGAACGAATCTCGCGATATGCTTGCACATGCGAGTTCGCGCGAGTTGTGACAGGGGAAGCATCATTTCTCCTCCTTGCTACATTGCAACACGCGTGTTTGAAGAGCCGAGCATTTACTCGGCGCTGTGCAGTGCAGCCGGCGACAGTCGGTGTCCTTCGAACAATTTTCCAATTGCGTTACATTCGTTGTTGTCGTTGAAAGATTTAATTTAATATATAATATAATAAAAAAAATGGAAGAAGATCCAGCCGTCTATCGTAAGCAAGTCGAGAGCTTCACGTCGCAGAAGGAGTTCTACGAGGACGCGGCCAAGTACTGGGATCAGATACCGGCCACCGTCAACGGCATGCTCGGCGGCTTCGCCTGCATATCCGAGATCGACGTCAACGCGTCCAAGCGATTTCTCAAGGCCCTCTTTCAAGTACGAACATACTCGATTTTGATCGTGCATCTTGTTGTTATTGTTTTGCTTATTTTTTTTTTTTTTTTTTTTTTTAGGCGGAGGAGCTGGACGTCGGCCGGGATTACGCGTGCGACTGCGGTGCCGGTATCGGCCGAGTGACGGGCAACTTGCTGTCGCGTTTCTTCAACAAGGTCGATCTGGTCGAGCAGAATCCGAAATTTTTGGAGCAAGCCAAGTCTTATCTGAAGGTGTCCAAGAGCAAAGTCGGCGAATTTTATCCCATCGGTATGGTTGGCTCGATCGCCATCGACATAACGAGATCAAAAATATAATTTCAATTTTTTTTTTCAACGACAGGTTTACAGGACTTTGATCCAGAGCCAAAGAGATATAATGTCATATGGTGTCAGTGGGTATTGGGTCATTTGAACGACGCAGATTTGGTGAAATTTTTCAAGAACTGCAAGTAGGTTCACGACGATGCATTTGCCACGAATACAAATTGAACCGAATTTTATATTTTACAGAAAAGGACTGAAAGACAATGGTATTTTATGCGTCAAAGAAAATGTTACAAAAGCTGACGTTGTTCAAATGGACCCAACAGATTCATCCATTACTAGACCTTACAAGGAATTGGTTGCAGCCTTCGACGCTGCAGGCTACACTTGCATCAAAGAGGAGCTACAAACTCGGATGCCCGATGGGTTGTACCCAGTTTATATGTTTGCCCTGAAGCCAATAGAAGTTACTTCAGAGAGTTCGAATTAGATAGACAATTTCATGTACGATAGTTTCAAAGATTTAATAGATGAATTTGAAAGACTCGAAGATTGCACAATAAGTATCACACTATTTGAACAGGTTTTAAACAGACGTTACAATAATTATTGTACAGATGAGAAGAGCCAAACTTTGAAAGTTTGGAACAATATCAACAAACAATGTGCACTATTGATTTTTGCACGTATTGCATCACAAGCAAGGGTTTATACAAATGATATTTTTATAAAATTTATAATATACAATTAGTTAAGTAGTGGAATTTAAAAATTAATTGCATTATTCATTCAAACTTCATCCGTCAACATTTCCCACAAGATTGATCTATTTTGGTCTTATTTTTTCATAAAAATAGCGCTGGTTTAGATCTTGGACTGAACCATTTATCACTCTCTTTTTCACTGCATGAAATTGAGATAAAGCATAATTGTATAGGTCATTTTCCATTTTCCAAACAATTGACTTTTGTATTTTTTTAACAGTTTCTGGTAGAGGCTCTATTTTTTGAGTAGTTTGTCTGAGATGAGATTTATTATCTGAAAATAAAAATGATGTATGCTGATAAATGAAAACAGATTTTTACTCATTACTCAAATGAAATAAATAGAACTTACTATGCATAAAAACATTATAAGAGCCTTTAAAAAATCTAGGCAAGACAGTTTCTAATACTTGGACAAACTCTGCCAGTTCCTCCGTAACTCCTACCAGTAAATAGTGCTTATGTAAATTGCGTTTAGCTTCTTCCAAAGCCCATTCGTTACCAATTTCCCTAAAATTAATCATGAGTCAAGAATTCTTAAATTAAATAAGTAGACACTTAAAATAAAAACTTACCAGCATGCTGGATCATGACCGCATAAAAAGGGAATTTGCAACCACATATTATTGGGATCGCAATCAGGCTGTCCATCTCTCACACACTCATCGAAAGTCTTCTTATCTCCTGACTTTCTTCTAACTAGATAAGGTCTAAAGTTATCACCGTATCTTAAAAAGTAGTAGTAAGAAACAAATCTATCTAAAGGCTTGCGTAACAAGTTTATGTACAATGGATTAGCAGCTATACCAAGCCTGAAAATAATTTCTTTGCGTTAAAATCATTTAGGGATTGTAAAAAATTTAATCATGGATCATTTACTTTTGAAAATCTAGAAAAGCCATGTGCCCATGGTAAAACGCAGGCTTGATTGAGTCCCAGTGAGTTATGTTGTGCGCAAACTGCATCTGCAAAGACAATGCAAATCAGTAAAAATTGTTTTAAATCAAAGCTGCTTAAACGAGTCGTTGAAATCAATTTAAATACCTGGTTCGGAAGAGTAAGCGTGTGCATGTTGTTCGTCACGTTGATGTGCAGGGTGTGAAATTTGTTCCTCTTGCACATGTCGTAAACCACCCCGACGAAGCTGGTCGAGCCCGTCTTGGGCACTCTGTTGTATATCACTACGTAATTGTCGTCGCTCGAAATCGGCCGCGTTTTCGGCTTCTCCTGATGCTGCTGCTGCTGCTGTTGTTGCTGCAGGTCCTTCTTGGCACCTGTGCCGACGTCGAGCTTGATCTGCTGAAGGGCATTTTCTGCGGAAGGACAAAATCGAGAAATATATTCAACGAAAAAAGAACGAGAGCCGAGAAGCCATAAAGAAGCTGTCACTAACGCAACGTCTGATTGTTTTCCTCGAGATGATTCAGGCGTAAGCTCTCATAAAGTACGATCAGTACCAGTGCCAGAATCAGGATCCATTGCAGGGAAAAGCTTCTCACTAACATTATCGTCGAGCCTCATTTGAAACGGCGCTACTTTTATGTTCGACGATTGAAGAACGAGTATTTATATCGAGTTACATCAATTCACAACGCGACGATACCTGTACGAAAAATTGCCGACAGATATATATAGGTGTATGTAGCAGTAGATGCTGCTGACACTACTGCACCACCACCAGCACCAGCACCAGCACTACCCCCCCACGCACGGCAGTGTTGTTGTCCGTTCGGAGTTCGGTTCGGAGTCACTCGCCGCGCACCCGAGATTCAGCGAGCGCCGTTTTGAAACCTGTTCGCGAGAGTTGCGAATGTGTATATGAAAGTAACCTTTCGCAATGCAGCACAAACGTCTGTACGTACGTTTTACGCTCGATCGGTAAGTCGTAGGATAATTCGCAGAAAAAGAAAATCAGATTCAAAAATGTACATCATTCGATGAGCAATCGAGAGCAATACCGCGAATCTTTTCCTTTCGATAAAGTAAAAGTAATTAAAATAGTCGTCGTCCGTTCCATTGATAAAAAGCATGAAAATCAAATTAATTTGCGAGCGATAGTTGCCGAAATTGGTCGCGCGATGGCACCACCTACCGGCAAAGTTCGCCTCGACTTGTACACTCGTTGCACATTCGCTTGCAGCTTTTCGTCATATACATACGGCACATACGCTTGCTCCGTCCCCCTCCATCGCATCAGCATCAGTAGCTTCTATCTCATTCTCGCACACGCGCGAGAATCAGCAAAAGCATCGTACGCGCACACACACATACTCGGCCGTAAATTCGCAAAGAGTGGAGATACATACACGTATATATGTATATAGATATACAAAGGCACGGGGGCATCGTCGATTCAGCTTCAACAGCAGCAGCAGCACTGTATAATATAGTAGAGGCAGCGCAAGGCAGGCCAGGCCAGGCCAGTTCGCAAGCGAGCGCGAGCGTGAAATGACGGTTGTTGCTCGCCTCTGTCAAAGTCATCGTCGTTGTCATCATCGTCATCCTCATCATCGTTATCGTCGTGCTCGTCGCAGTATATTAGTCCAAGCACGAGATATAGTTGTTAGTAGTAGATAGTCGTCGTCGTGTCGCCGCTTTTGTACTGCTGCTATATACCGATGCAACCGTTGTGTGTGTGCATGCGGACAAACTGACGCACTAACACAGGCGCGCGCGAGCATCGTGGAGTGGTGTGTCCCTTCGATATAGGCGAAATTCGTTTGATACACAAAGGGAATATACGCGATTCCACCCTTCCCCACGAGTGTGTCGTGCAGTGATAATGATAACAACGGCAGCAACGTAACGCATCGAGATTATATTCAGCAGCATCGGACGCAGAGGCGCTTTTTCCCCGTCAGTTTTTGATTCTCCACATCGACACGATTCTGCTACATACATCTGTCTGTCTGTCTGTCTCTCTCTCTACATCGCGAGTTCAAGAGCCAGACCAAAACAGAGAAGCGAAAAAAATACACATATATATGTATAACGTCAACAAACCGAGCAGTGCAGAGCGAAGAGCACAATAAGATACAGATATATAATCGACAACAACAACAACAACAACAACGACAAAAAATTAAGGCAGGCGAAACTAGTGGCGTGTGTGGTGGGCCAGTCGCATGTACACGGATAATCCACACACACTCACGCGCACGCATGCAATATAATCTGCCTTCGATTCGAGTCGTGCTGTTCCCCGTGATTAATATAATACAGTGTCTCGAGTCTCGAGTTTATATTATACGCTGCTGCACATTATAGCGTATTAAATAGCGAGATAGAGAGAGCGAGCGAGTTCAGCGGAGAATAAAATTTTAAACAAAAAAGAGGAAAGATCATTTTTGTGCTGCTGTTCCTTGTGCCACGACGATGATGATCCGCGAGCTAATCAACGCGTAGTGCTCTGTGTATATGTGTGATATCTCCATTCGTTTTATAATAATATAAGATAAAACTCGTGTGTAAGTGTGTGTGCAGTGTGTACCCGCGTGTGTGCAAATCGTCGAAAGCGCGTGTATACAGTGTGTCTCGTCGTTGTTGTTTGTTTTCGTCGTCGTCGTTGTTGTTGCCTCTGTGTACATATATACGGATCACCGAGAGCCATTCTCGCATCGATAAAGAGGTAAGTGCACTTGGCACACGGTTGTCATCGTCTTCCTTCCTTTAACGTCCAATCTCCCATGCCTGTCGCGATTTCTGATTTTCTGTCGTCGATTCGTCGTCGATTGTTGTTAACGAGTGCGAGCGAGTAAGCCTATAGTGTCCGTCCTCTCTCTCTCTCTCTCTCTCGGACGTGGCGAGTCAGATGGTCCGCGCACAGCGTCCCACGACCGTGTACCCCCCTTTTATTTATCCGTATACAAGTACTCCGAAGTATACCGAGCCATTCTTTTTGACTTACAAAAAAAATCTCGCTATATGGGCTTCTGCATCTGTAGATATGTGTGCGTGCGTGCAGCATACCCAAGTAACCCACACGTACAATTGTCGCTTACTCGTTTGTGTATGTGTGCATCGCGTACGTACACTGTACACACGCGTTTATAGTGATTTTCCCTGCAGTACACTGGTACATGGGCACGAGTATATATATTATAACCGATGCACCTGCCTGTTTATGCATGTGTACAACACACGTACACGCAATGTATAACCTCTGGCGTGCGCATCCTCTCGGTCAGCCTGCATTTCATTATCAGCCAAGTCGTATCGTACAGGGCATAGTATAGGACTTGCATCTGTCGCGAAGCTCCCCTTTTTTTTGTCTTCATTATACCTTGGCTGCTTGCAACAAGAAAAAAAATCGCCTTCCGTCGCGACGACGACTCCGAGAATTCTCGACGTTTGTGTGTGTGTGTGTATATTAGGTTATGGAAGCTTCCGAGCCGAGAAAGAAAGAGTCGGAGCCTCGGTCTCTCCTGCATTCTGCTGTCGCACGATAGTAAAAAAGATTCGTGTAGCACACATTGACACTTCGTCTCGATGCGTGTGTAACGACGGACGCTCTCGTGTGCGTGTGTATTTGATTCGTCCGAGATCGCGGCCAGAAAATGCAGCTTCTCTCTCTCTAGTTTCTCTCCTCCCTTAAAAATGTATATCCACGACCCATCGTCCGAGTATACGATACAATAATATACACTTATACTAGCTACTTAAGCTTATATATATAATGCGTACGTACGATCTTTGTCGTGTACGTGTGTATATGTGTGCGAGGCAGCGCATGTATACACACGAGCTTTTATAGGTTATACGTTATTCGTTATGCTCGCGTTGCTGCCTCGTTTCATTATGCATACTTTATGTACCGCGCTGCATCTCCACTCTGATTTTTTTTCCTCTATTGTGTACTCGTTGAGCTGCTGCTGCTGCTGTGCATTAATAATAACGCGTGCAACGATTCATACGAGGCACGAATCTCGACCCGTACGCTGGTACTATATAGGGCCTGTTGTTGCGTGCACGAGAGAGATGCTTTTCTTTTTGACGCATCGACGTGTATGTATGTATGTAGGGACATGACGTTTGGAATCGACGAAGCTATATAGGCGAATCGAAGTGAAATAGTAACAGACGGAGAAAGAGCGTTATAGGTATATCGATATATAGAGCTGAGAGGGAGAAAGGTCGCTGACACTTTTGGCCCCCGCAACCGCCACCGACGACGACGACGACGACGTATGTGTGTGCTTTCTGTTTATGAGTGTGTGTGTGTGTACACAACGAGCCTCGCTTCATTCTTTGCTCCTCGCATTGTCGGTGTGTGATATTATGAGTGATGAAACTCCGTTTCTGCTGCCACTGCTGCGTATTGATTATTTCCATCCGCGAGATCTCCGTTGTCTCTCTTTGTTGTTGTTGTTTTTTTTTTTTTTTTCGTTGAACGAATGCACGTATCAGCGACTTTTTCCGAAAAGTGATCTCCCCGTTGACGATTCGGCGAGAGCGTTGATAATTCACGCAACTGCAGTCCTCTTGTTCGGACACCATTGTTATTTATTCATTTTTTTTTTTTCGATATTACACCTGGCGCGCTCGTAGGTAAAAAAACAACGACAAAGAGGAATGGAAAAATGATCAAAAACGAAAAATTGTTCGTCCTCGAGCTTTATCGACTTTCCAACGTTTATGCCGTGGCCAAAGTCCAAAAAAGAAGGGCCGTTTATTTCACTCGGCAAAGGATTTTTCTTTTTTTCTTTTTTTTGTATCATGCGCTGTTCGTAAGGTTGTTCGTACTTATGCACGAGAAGGATCGAAATCAAGGCTAACGAGAAAAGCGAGATAGCGACAGCGGACTCGAGAAGGATAATTGGGTGTATCGAATTTTTTTTTTTCAAAGTACCCATTACTCGTATAAAATTACTCGTGCGCCATTTTCGCGAGTCGTCTCTCTCGATGGATAGTATACACGTTATTATAATTACGCGATTAGATTATCTCTACGCGTTAACGAAGTATCGGATTCGCGCGGAGGCAGAGCTGAGCAAAAAAAAAAAAGATAACGACGTCGTGCAAATTGTGATTTCGACAGCGCGACACGACGAAAGGAGAGAGCAAAAAAGAAAAGAAAACTCGCACACCTTCGAACGAGTCCGTGTATATAAAATACGAGTCGAAAGAAGGAAAAAAAAAGAAATGAGAATGCAGCTTCTCCGTTGCGTCACATGCACGACGCGCCTGCCAGTAAATATATATTATTATTGCAATCGGGTGCGCGCACAGGTGGTGCGCGACACGCTGACTTTTCGTAACGTCGATTTGGAAATCCGAAAATAGTGCGAATTCTGTACATTGTGATGTATGCGTTGATGTACACCGTGGTTGATATGTCGCCGACAGGTGGCGCATAACTAAAATTATCGTGCCCTTAAAAGAAGTAGTCGAGTTTAGTCTTTAAGTATAAGTAACATTTATCTTGTAAGTTTGTCCACCGCAAAATTTTTTTTAGCCCTGCCGATATCGCAAGGGACGCAGACCGAAAAAGTGAAGCACAGATACAGCCGACAAAATGACGAGAGACGATATTATGTTTGAATTGAGTAGCTCTTCAATTAGTTTTGACGTCCTGATGAGCTCGTCAAGAAAATATCGAACTCTCGTATACAAATAAAGAAAAAATACGACTTTTTAGCGCTCCTTTTTTTCCTCTCTCCTTCTCCAGCTAACGATCTAACTGGTATTTTTTCATTTTTTTCCCCCATTGAAAAGTACAACTCATAATATAAAAGTGAGCGAAACAGAGTCGAGCTGCGAACAGAAAATGCGAAATAGTCAATAGCGAAATCATTCTCGCGTGCATTTTTCTCGTTCCTCTGTACACTCGTACCTATTTTTGGTGCTCGTTGACATTTTTTTTTCTCTCTGTCTCGCGCTCTGTTGAATCGTTAACCTCTTGGGATGTAGAGGTATATATACGGCAACGCGAAACGAATCGTAACTAGATTTTGCAAACGTACGTTCGGAGATCGAGACACATTGCAAAAGTTGCATTTCTCGTTCTAGAGTACACGTAAACGAGATAGAGGTGGAAAAAGCGAATAATCGAGCCCGGGTCTCGTGTCTTTGCTGCGAGCTTTTCGCGATGCACACGAGTCGTGCATGTCGCGATAACTGATCAAATTTTCATCGGCGAACTCTCGTCGCAATTATGCTCCTCGTGTAGATACGTTTCGCGTATAGATGGTAGTAAGTGTACGTCTATTTCGAATCGGGAATCGAACGAGTAAAATCGATGTAATTACACTTTCTGCGGGTACAACAATGTAAACACACTCGAATCGATCGACTTGTTTGTTTCAAAAGTAGACACGTACATATAGGTACCGACTGCAGCAACAGCAGCAACAGCGGTAGCAGCTACACGAAATTGCAAAAATTTACAACGATTAGGAGAACCGCGACGACTCGTCGTTGTCGTCCAGCTCGATCAACGATCGAGTATATCATAGATATTAATTGAAAAAGTTTCCGGAAAAGGCTTATCTAATCTTATCGCGGAGCCGCTTCGTCGACGCACGCTCGATCACGAGCGCTTAAAAAAGTAATTATTGCCGCTTTAATAATCGAAAAATAGATTTTTTTCTGACACCTGAGAGCGTGTGCTGCTGCCGCTGCAGCATATTGTAAGCGATATTCACACTCGTGTGTTCACGTGCGGAAGCGTCTACATCATCGTCGTCGTCTGCCCGTTAATCATTTTTTTTTCCTCTTCATATATTCATACGTGTGTGTGTATGTTCGATGCACCACACGTTCGAGCAATTAACGCATGTAATTTCATTCGTAAAAATATAATAAAACCGTCAATTAGCGAAGTCGCACAGACGCCGTGTGTTGTACGCGTCGCGCCATTGAAATTCCACGACACTTGTGTAGTCGTCGTCGACGTCGTGTCCACGCACACACACACCCACACGACGACGACGCGAAACAATTAGACTCCGCTGCAGTAATAAAACAGCTGCAAGCTCGTATCATCGTCATATGCAACACGTGCGCATATTCGGGCGAACGATGAAAATTCGCGCAAAATCGGACCTTACGCGATAAAAGAATTCAACGGCGATTTTCCTCTTTTCTGCATAATTGCGTGCGTATATAGCTTAAAGCTCCGATGATAAATCACCTCTATAAATTCGAAAATAAAAGCGTCTTTAATGCTTGCAGTGGAAACGTCGATAAATATTCCACGTGTAATCCATTAATTCTCGGCAATTCTCATACACGACCAAAAAGAAAGCGACGTTTTCTCCTCTCTTTATCCGCGCCAAATATATACAAAGCACAACTTTGCTCCGAGCGCGTATCATCGTAGCGCAAACGTCGGAAACAAAAAAAAAGCTCCTTTTTGCAAAGAAGAAGTCGCGCGGCAGGCTGTATCGGTTCGTCGTATTGTAATACCCGGAGCTGGCTGGCTGCATTTGTGGCACGACGCGCATACGTATGCTTAATGTGACAGTTCGCAGTTCTCGCGCTTTATATCTCATTATGAGCTATATAGCTGCAGCAGCAGAGTATTATTATAAGCGGGCGCAGCAAACGACGACGACGACGAGGAGATATCATATGTATTGTATAGTATATATATAGCAGACCGCACACACAAAGTTGGCTTTGATTTCAGCCAGTGACATGTGCCTTTTTCACGTCGACTTAAGCGTATACATATTTTTTCTTTTTTTTTTTTTTTTTTTAAATGCGTACTTATCATAATTAATTGTAATCGCGTTTTGTATATATATAGCCCAAGCGTTGCAATTACAAGCGCTGTTCCTGCATACGGCTCGCTGCTGGCGGCTGGTTTTCTTCCTCGTGTGCGCTTCGTTGCGTGTTATCATCATCGTGTGCATTATTAAAAGCTCGTATGACGATTCGATTGCCGCCGCCGCCGCCGAGGATCACTCGAGAGCTCACATGCGCGTGGCTCGTGATTTAAGCGACGTTATGTGTACCGAGTTTATGGCTCTCTCACTTGCTCGTAGTACCGTGTACGCTGCTATAATAGCTCGTCGTTAATAATTTGCTCATATTTTTAGAATCGTACGTAATCGCGACGGTGTGTTTTTCGAGAGAGCGAGAGAGAGAGAGAGAAGAACTCGTAGCGATGATTTCAATTTTTTTATGATTCTTTTTCTATACGTACTCGACGACGAGTATATCTGTGTTTTACACAACAATAGCTCTCGATCGTTGAGGCACGAGTTGAAACAAAACGAAAGCGCAAAATTTTTTTCAATTTCGCGCTTTTCAGACAGCCACTCATCGTCGCTCTTTTTCTAAATTAAAGAATTACCGCACGTGATCGACGCGACTGACGCGTGAGTTTTATTTTTTTTCTCACAAACATCGCCTCGTTATTAATTCTTATCTATAATTACATTTTACCACTCATGGGCTCGGGTGGTAAAAATTCAATTAATAATTTTTTTCTTTCCTCACCGCCGACGCTCGTAAAAATTTATATATTAGATACGTAAACGCGATTGCCTTTCGTATAAACCCGCGAGCGGCGCGCAAACAAAATCATAAAAATGTATATTATATTCCCGGCGACGTTTCGAGCTTAAAAGTGACTTAGCAAATGATATACACCGAGTGCTGCAATTATTAATTTTTGCGAAATGTATCCCGTATATATAATCGCGCGCGCGCGCGCCAATGAGTCAGTGGAGCAAGAGGGAAAGAGATAAACTGCTTAAATAGGACTTATAACAAAGTCTTTTCTCTTTTCTCTCCCCCCGCTTAACTGAGGCTTTTCAATCTCTCTCTGTCTCCTCTCCCTCGGCCATTGTAAAATGTAAAGCGGAAATTTTTTCGGTGCGAATCTTCTTGCCATTAGTCATCGCTAGAGAAGCGATGAGAGATTCGCGCAGAGGGGGTTTTTGTTTTTATAAATGCAACGAGATTACAAAGTTTATGTGTGTATTTGCGCTCGCATTGTTTGCACAAAATGCGGAGAGAGAGAGAGAGAGAAAGGGAGAGAAAAGATTACGGACTTTTAGAATGTCAATAAATCAAAATGATAATTGACGACACAATGTGTATAAAATGAGCGAGACGTGTTTACAAGTGCGCGATTGATAAACAGCTCTCTTTCTTTCTCAAAACAACGAGACGCTCTTGTGTACACAGGCTTATTCAATATTGTTATTCAATTTCTTTATTTTCTTCTTATTTTTCGTGCACGATGAATTTATGAACCTGTCAGCGCCAACTCGATTTCAGATTAGTTTCGTTTCGTTTTTTTTTTTTGCTCCGATAGAAGCCTGTATACCGATTTAATTTCCAAAGAGTCTCGGGTACATAAAGAGAAGAAGTTCTCTGCCGCTACCGTCTGGACATCTACCAACAAAAAAGAAAGAAAGAAAGAAAGAAGGAAAAAAAAATAATAATAAAGAGAGAGCTGTGCGATATTACCGAGCGAATATACGGCATTGAGAGATAAGAGATTACCTCGTGGCGGTGTGTGTGTGTGTGTGTATACATAGGCTCGTGGCAGCCACTCTCCGTATGACATGCAGCAGCAGCAGAAAGAGGGAGAGAGAGAGAGAGCAGAGGCAGACTGCTACATTATAAGTCGGATGTCGTCTGACCTTGGGCATCCGTTTCGTTTGCCAAGTCTCGAAGAAAATTGCCCGCGCGCACGGAGTCGCGGCATAAGGTAGTCTCGCGAAGAGCGGCTTTCGCTCGTTCCTCTCCCTCTCTCTCTTACTATATATCTCTCGGTGCTGCCGTACTCACTTTTATTTCGATCGCTCGAGCCTGTGAGTGTGTTCGATCGTAATGCCACACACACAGACATCACGTTTTTCCCTCTTTGCAAAAAAATGGACGGATGAAAATGCGTCGATACTTTTCCAGCATTTTTGGGGACTCTGCTGTTCACAGCCCATATCTCGAAAAAGTAAATATTAGGACATGATGGATTTTATTGAAACTGGCAGTATAAACTGATTTTTGAATTATGAGTTGAGTTTTAAATTTTACTTGATTCGATTTAAATTCATCAAAGTTCAGCGAAATGGATCGATTCAGATATTATTATGCGTTCATATTTTTAGTTTAAATACTATTCATCATTTTAAAATACTTCCTAGGTGTATTTGAAGTTTTTTCGTTTTCTCGAGTTATACTCGACTCGAATCCGACTCGAGTAAAGAATAAAAAAAACTGAAAATGTATTTTTTGCTTTCAATTCATTTATTCGAGTTGCATCATTGGTAAATACGTTATATTAAATAATATATTACAATTATGCTTATTGCCAACGTGTCATCATTTTCTCTGCAAATTACATGCAGAGCAATCCTCTGCGTCGGAAAAATTCGTATCTAATCTATCCTCACAACAGCAATCTCGTGTCGAGTCCTTGGTGTGGTGGTCTCGCGAATCTTCGAGCCGACGGACTCGTACTCGTCGTTGCTGCTGCTGCTGCTGCTGCTGTCCAGCTTATAAAACATCTCCTCGACGTCGTAGTCGTGGCTGCGGTACATGAAGTGCAGCGGAATCACTACCACCTCGTTGGCCACGAAAGGATCGGCGCCTCGTCTCAGCAGCACACTGACCACGTTCTTGTTCTCGCGGAGCAGTGCCAAGTGCAGCGCCGTGTTGCCGTTCTTGTCCCAGGCGTCGACTCGCACCGGCCGACGTTTTTCGTCGCAGACGTCGAACAGTAGTTGCAACGAGTCGCCGTCGTCCTCGAGCAGTGTCCCAGATCCAAGGCCAGGTGCAGCGGCGTGTTGCCCAACGTGTCCCGGGCGTCGACCTGCACCGACCGCTGAAATTTGTAATTGACGTCGAAGAACATCTCCAGCAGGTCGTCGTTGTAGTTCCCGCCGCAGATGACGTGCAGAGGCGTGTGTCCGAGGCCGTTGGCCAGATTCGCGTCGCTCCGTTCCTCAGCAGTGAGGCGGCCGTCTCGTTCTCGTGGTTGGCCAGGGCCAGGTGCTGCGGCGAGTCGCCCGTCTCTCTCACCCGGAGATTCGAGTCCAGGCCGAGATCCAGATGCTTCCGGACGATGTCTTTGCGGCCGAACCGGCAGGCCACGTGGAAGTGAGTCAGGCCCGACTCGTCGCTCCGATTCGCGTCCGCGGCGTCGTAAACTCGAAACAGATGATCGATCAGCTGGTGGTACTCGTACTTGGCCGCGACGTGCAACGGAGTCGTGTAACGCGACACGGGCTTGCCTGCTTGATCGAGGTCGGCTTTGTAGCCGCTCAATGCCACGAACTCGATGAATCGTCCTCCTCGAGCGCAACTAGCTTCGTCGTCCATGTAGTATATGGAATCGAAGAGAAGTGACTCGACCTGTTCGTGCGAGAAAACATCTCGAAGGTTTGGAAGTTCGCCCTCCCAGTGGCTGATCAAGAGATCGACTTGACGGAGAAAAGCGATTCGCTCTCCTATTTTGTTCCAGTTGAGATTATCTCGCAAGCTCTTCAATTTTTCATCGGACGTCGACGCTTATAAAATTTATAATATTTGCTATTATTTTCACCTGAATCGCGGCGCCGTAGCTAGTGCTGAAATGAACCACGCGGTCGAGGCTGTCACGCGTACGGTGTACAAAAATGGAGTGTCACTCGGTGCTCTTACCTCGTGGTCGTAAAGTCAATTGATCTTCCTATTCATTTCGATCCAAGTATCTAAGTTGGAGATTACAAAGAACACGTGGTCGAAGGTGAAAGTCCCCAGCGTAGTAGGCCCATGACCAGACATACAGGCCCAATAGCGACTCCGACTGCGAGAGAGGCAGTCGCAGATGCATATAATACAGAGCGCGCATCTATACCATATTAACTTCGAATGAACCTCGCTCTCATTTTTTTCGTATACTTTAACTTTTCAATTCAATTGCGTTGCAATACATACTTTTATAGCACTGCGTGGCATAAGTTCACATCTATGGCACGCTTTTCGGTGGCATAAGTCGCACATTCTGGCACCGCTGCGTTCGCATCACACTCGCATACGCTCGTGCGCTAACCTCACTTCGCGCTACCAGAAAGTGCGACTCATGGCTCGGAAAAGGGGGCATAAATGTGAACTTTGCACAGTACTATAAAATGTTGTTCGATACTCGGGCCATAGGGGACACTTTTCGGCCCAGCTATTAGGACCCTCGCTGCGCTCGGGCCCTAAACTACGCCGTGCCAAAAAGTGTTACTTATGGCACTTGTATCGAAAATTACTATTTTTTTTAAATTTATATCATCAATGCGTTCAGATACATTTTGAGATATTTCGCTTTAAACGATTGGGCGCTTGTCATCTTGCACACGCACACGCAGCAACGTGCCGAACTTACCCAAAAACACAGCCCAATGTAAATAAATGTATAAATCTCGTCCGTCTACGTATAATAGTTATTGCGATATACGATAGCATCGAGAGGTTCGTTAAACCTCGCGTTTATACGAAAACACCCACTCTCTCTCTCTCTCTCTCTCTCTCTCTCTCTCTCTCTGTCTGCGTCTCTCGTTTACATAGACGCGACGGATCGATGCCGCGATGATGATGAGGTTCTTCTGGAATTCGTCGGCGGTGTATATACTGTGTAGTGCATCGACAATCGTGCGTATTATTTACCGAACGCAAGAATAGAATGACTCGGTGCTATTTTTTTTTGTATGTATAATGTACGCGCCCGCGCGCTCGCTCGCTCAGACACGATCGGTACACCTTTTTAAAAAGTGCGGAATTCCATTGGATCGTCTGCGTATGCGTGTGTATATTTATTTTGCAATGCTCGACGTAGCTCGTTCTCGACTTTGACTATCGATGATTTATAGGCGGAGAAAAATTTACCAATTATTTTTATTATTATTTTTTTTTGTAACGACAAAGCCGCGCCGCTTTTCGCGTGAACAAATGTATATAATTATTTAAAGAGCCGCGCGCGCGCGGAAAGCAACATTAGAGCCGTTTCAACGCGGCGAAAACGATCGTCTTCCACCCATGCACACACATAGCCGAGCCCCCCGAGAAGAGACGGAGTTTACCCAACTCTCTCGACTCTTTGGAGGAAGAAGAGAGTCTAAGATTACGAACTTTTGTTTGTTTGTGTGTGTGTGTGTGTGTGCGCGCGCGTATACCTAAGTGCGCGCGAGCGATATATTTTACCGTGTCTTTTCACACCGCGCGAGAGAGAAGAGAGCTTATAATACGTTCGCGGTGTATATACGAGCGCAAGCACACCGCGAGACGGGGCCTATAGAGATACAAGCATACCATAAAAGCTTCTCGAGCGACCTACTTTTCCGCGGCAGTGGAAGAAGTTTGCATCTTCTTCTTCTTCTTCCTCTTCTTTTTTTTCTGCCTTAGTATACGCCTTGTGCATGTTATATGTACGAGGCATACATCTCGCGAGATCATTAAAATTTCACGCGCGGAGTAGCGGGGTAGAGCTTCGATCCCGTAGCGCCGCCGCATCTTTTTCGTGCGAACTCGTGGGGGCAAACGTAAGGTGAATTATTCATACGATATGGTAAACGAGCGCCGAGAGTGGGTGCACCCGAAATTCAAGGATTGCTTCTTCTTCTCGCCTCGTAAATTCGAATCGATAATTGAATTATTTCGAAGAGCGAGAATTTTACGTTGATGTAGACTAACAGCTGTATTAAAAATCTCTTTTAAATTGTCGCGTACACGCGCCGCTTACCGATGCATTATTACGAAGTATACTTTGTTTGATCGTCGAATCCTTTGCCTGTACCACGAGAAGAGAGAGAGAGAGAGAAAATTCAGATTGTCTCATGATGCGCTTACGGCGGTAGTGTTAAGCTCTCTCGGAACTTAATCACGACGATGGTAATGATAATCGCGCGCGCAATATGCCACGGGACAAAATTATCCAAGGCGAAACTTGAACTTTGGCCGCTTCAACGTCCACTTACGGCCACTTGAGAGCCTCGCTTAAACTGTATCATAAAGTTCAATTCAGCCTGCAATTAGCTAATCGCCCCTTTCGAGCTTGAGAGAGAAAGAGCTGCAGCTCCTGGATTCTATACCCCTGCATTACCCTACGCAACCCGTCCCCTCCCTCACAATTTTCTATTTAAAATACCAAAAAAATTTCTATACTCGAACTAATCGCAATCGTCTCTGTTTTTTGTTCTGCAGATACACACGATAGAGGAGCACGACACGACGACGTGCGGGGCGAACGAAGGATCACGACAAAAGAAAAACACATCGTCGAGTCTTCTTCGAGGCCGCGCGACAAAGGAGAGATATCCATGCTCTTCATCTTCCGCACTGTCCGCGTAACAATGCCGTCTGAATAATATAAATAAAGAAAACAAGTGAATCCGATGCCCGGGAGCAGCCGTGTCCGATAATTTTTCAAAGGCCCGGCTACTCTTTTTTCCATTTGTAACGAGATTTCTTTTTGTTTTTAAATACGCCTTACACATATTTTTAATTAATCGCGCGTGAAAAAGTAAGGGCTGAAAAATCTTCCTCTCGTTTCTTATTACATAAATACTCGTCAAAGCCAAAAGAGCCAACGACACAAAAAAACAAAGGGTGCGGGGGTTTGGACAAAAAATCGGTAATGGGGATGGATTGACAAAGTCGAAGAAGTGCGCGTGTGAGAGAGAGAGAGAGTAATATGGCTTTCATGATGAAGAAGAAGAAGTACAAATTCTCCGTCGAGGTGGGACTGGAGGAGCTGAGCGCCGTGTCGTTCGTCAGCGCCGTGCTGTTCGCCAAGCTGAGGCTGCTCGACGGTGGCTCCTTCGTCGATCACTCAACGAGGTTAGTATATCGATGATTGTTAATTGGCGTTTATTGCCCGTATCGAGATTACGGCTGTACTATACACATCCTTGATTTCGTTGGTTCGTTTGTTTTTTTATACTTCGCAAATGATGTACTTTTTTTTTCTTCTGTTTAATGATACGATAAAACGCCATTAGGATTACGCTTTCGCATCTCGTTTCGGTTTTTTTCATATAGGTAGCAGTGCATTATCTAAGGTCAATGCAAGATATTAATGTTCTTCTTTCCGACTCACATTTATATCTAAAAATTAAGCTTTATTTCCGAGATTTCCTGCAAGTTTGGAACTGAGTGACAACCTATTATTCATATAAATGTGAGCGCATCGATGTATTTATGTCGCGTGTCGGACTCATCTCCTTTTGAATAAATTCACGCGCATACTTTTTACGACTGAGGATAATAAAAAAAAACGATGCATCGATCTCGCGCTCTAGAAGGATCATTAATGAAACATGAGAATTTCATAAACGACGAGAGCTCGCGGTGAATAATTAAATTAATACTTCGACTGCGATTGGTTTATTACGAATTTAAACGAGCTCGTTTTATCATTGTAATTTTTTTATTTTCACTTCTTTGTTGTTCTCGATCGATGCTCCGATCTCGTATACGTGTATACTGCGTACTAATGCACCGAAAGCTCGATTACATCAGTATTTTATTTTTTTAGAAAATAAAAGGAAACGCCATTAGGCGAACGGCTCGCTTTACTTCGTACACATGAACGTATTATTACGACAATAATTAACGGTTGTTCCGAGCGATTTTCACCTGTTTTGTCTCGAGGCTATCTAGGCTTACCCGCAAAAATGTTTCTGCAGCGTCACCGTGTAAACACACATACAAACGTACATGATTTTCCGCATCGAGATGACACTCTTCTTTTTTCTTTCATATACAATACATAGCATGCATTGCGCCACGGCTCATAATGGTGTATCGCGTTGCACCGAGCAGTAAAACGACGCCTGGTCTCTCCGTGGGTTGCATGCGTTTCTTTTTCTCTCTCTTTTTTTTTCGTTGCCGTCGTCGTTGTTTGCTACCACTCTTGTGTGGTTAATGTACAGCTCGATAATGATAATAATGGGGAGTTCCGTTTACTGTTAAAAAAAGAGAAGAAAATACAGACGCGCAAAAAAGAAAATTCCTCGTTCGCGTGCCACATGTCGTCTTGTTTACATTTTGATTTTTTAATCCTCGCGTCACGAAAGCTCCCGTTCTCTCTCTCTTTCTCTGATTGTCGTCGATCGACCGTATAATATACGGGATACAACGTAAAATGTTTCGAGACAACGGAGGTATTATTACGGCACCTTTGTTGTTGTTTTTACTACGCGTACGAAATAAAAAAAGTAACGTGCGTGTTCTCGAGCAACTCAGCTCGCGAATCTACACTAGTATCTCGAGAGCTTTAGGGATCGATCGCGTGGAGCTCGAAAACATTCGTAAAACTCGTTCGCGAGCTCGTCCTTGTTTCGAATCAATTAAATTCATGGAATATTTGCGCAGCACGACCCGTGTACTTTTTCGTTCCAGCGGTAATTATAGTACAGCTCTGTATGTAACGCAATAAAGGGTGTTTCGCGCGTCACGTCGAAGCTCTGTGTATATAGGTATATTATATCCGCGCGTGACAACGACCTTCGATATCGCATAGGTGAAGCCGCGAAGCTTCTCCGTATGTGCAGTCTCGTGCGCGACGACGATACTATCGTGAAACTGGGCCACGTAGTACACACGACGACGACGAAGCTAATGCGATTCGACCGATTGCAGCGGGGCTATACGTGTGTGTGTGTGTGTAAATATGCATCACATTAACACGGCTTGCCGCATTTACGACATGTGCTTTATTAATTAGGGGGGAGGCTTGACGACGACGACGACGACGACGGGGTCAGTCATTCTCTCTCCTGTTCTCGCAACACCCCTGCGCGACTAGGCCAAGTCCGTTTTACACTTTCCTTATTTTTTTTTTTTTTTTTTTAAAGTGAGAGATGAAGAGAGACGCTTATAGGTAAACGACGCGTCGATGACATTGTTCGATCTATCTAACTCTCTGTCTGGATTATTTTTTGATGATATTACTATTTTTCCTAATTGAAAAAATTAACATACATCAAGTGATTACAAAATTGTACAATTTTCACTGGTAATATCGATAAAGTCGAATTTGACATTCTATCTGGTACTATCTGGTCAGGCGAATTTCGAACTATAAGAGTTTTTGATACAATTGACGAATAAGATTTTACCAATGGCATAATATCTGGTTTCGGTGGATGACGATGATTCTGGGGCAGAAAAATCGCACTGAAAATGGCATCGTCGCGAATTTCCAATTTTTACACACAGGGATGGGTTCGCTATGTATATAGCAGCCCTGTACAGCTCTAAATATATTCGACGCGCGACTTTGATAGCTTCGGAAAGGGAACGCGCAACGCGTGCACCTATATTATGATTAACGACGACCGCGTACACGAGCGCAGCAGGGCTTTGTCTACATAGATTGCTCCGTACACCCATGTGGTATGCAATATACGGCGCTACCCACGCACAAACGAGAATCGACAGATAGAGAGAGAGAGAGAGAGCTTTCAGCGTATACATCACCATCGCCCTTAATGTAACAATATATAAAGCGAAGATGTGTAACGGAACGAAGAGTAAGCGAACGCGAAAAATTCGTCTATTTTACGTATCTGCGCGCGTTCGTATACGTACAACAGTTACGAAGCACTCGAACTTTTAAAAATAGATAGACGAGAGAGCTTGGAACGGGGCTTTTAGCCGAGAGATAGAGAGAAAAGGAGTATACATAAGCATTACGGCACGCGCATGGACAATATTGACGCAGACGCGCGGACACGTGCTCGAGAGGATCGTATATAATAATGGTATTTATGTATCCGCTCGTTGTGGTACTTTTCCCGAATTATCGTTATACGATTGCAAAATCTAATTCGGAGTATCGCATGCGCAATGTATATATTACGATGGACCGTACACCCACTGGCGCGTAATCGTAACGAGTCCAAATGTTTTGGCAAAGTCCCGAAAACACGTGACACTCGCGAGTCATCGCATCTGTACGTTGCCTCGAACGCGATATAAAAAAAGGGCGCATTAGGCGCTTTTCACGATTTTCAGCGCGACGAGTCGATTCAACACGGTGTCGCGCTGCTTTCTCGTTTTTTCGTCCTTGTTCTAAGCATTGCTATAACTTGTGTATGTGGCGCTAGATTATACCGTAAAATGCATATAATCGGTATAGCGTTGTTTCGCTCGATCGAGTGTGAAATGACTTCCTTTTCTCGAAAAACAATTTTGTCTAGTCCGCGTAAGTTTGAAAAGACAAATTTTAATTTCGATACGATACTTTTTCATTCTTTCCGATTCTTTTACTTGACAAGAATCGCAGATTTCTGTAAGTCGCAATCTCGCATAGCAGCGTCGATAATGCCATGATATACGCAAAGCGCAAACCTGTAATTATTTCGCGAACTTTCATCATTCGCAATACTCGCCGTGTACAACGATCGAGGCGTATTTGCGCAAAAATCGTCGTGCACCGCTGCCACTGCCACCGTCACTGCACTCTATACAGCTACAGAGTCCCGACGACGGCACTGCATATATAATAAATATCATCGGGTAATTTACGTCCCCGGCGCGATATTACACCGAAAGAGCCCAGCTATAATACATAGAGAATTATAAAACCCGCAGCAGTTCTCAATTGTTACAAGGATATCGCTTGTGTTTGCGCAGTCGAGTTATAAAATGCGATACCGTGCCTTTACAACTCTATATACAAAAGATTGTAGACTTTATGTATATACCTGTGCATATTTACGTGTGTGTATACGATCGATCGATCATTTTTTCATTTTGTTCCGACGATGACGTTTTCGGTTGAGAGAGATCCTTGAGCGGAATTTTTCGCAGAAACGCGCATAGCCACCGACACTCGAACATTTGAATGACTTCCAAAATTTCTCGCGCGCGCAAAATCCAATTTTCGTCGAAGGCAAAAATTCCGGTGAATCGCGCGTCTGTGTGTGCGATTACCTGCGGCTGTGAACGTCGAGAAGAATTGAAAAATTTTGATCTCGCTCCAAGCTGCTTTCTTCGTCGCGGATCGATTCTGACACACGCTCGTTTTTGGTTGTTATTAATATCAAAGGGTATAAAGCTTCGTCTCTTATCTCTCAGGAACCGTCCACTGCGTGTATGTATTTTACCGTGCCGAGTTTATTTATACAACTTTTCATTTTTTCTCTCTCGAAACATCTTACCCCCGAGCGCCTCTCGATACTTTTACTTTCTTTTTCTCGCACGATGGCTTCTCGGCTGCGCTTGGCTCGAGTCCAAGAGCGCACATATACGTATACGAGTTCGATTTTCCGCGTGTACACACAGGCACGCGTATCGCAGCGCGCATAAAATTGCGTGCGTAGGTATACGTGGAAAATTTTGCAGATACGTATACTCGTTCGTTCGTTTGTTTTTTCTTATACTCTTTGGTTCAACCACGTCTGGATGCATAAAAATTTGGAATTTTCACTTTGATACCCGAGCGTCGAAAAGTCGTAAAATTACATTGTTTTCGTTCGTGGGGTATACGGTTAATAAAAAAAAAGTAGTACTTTCTATGCAGCGAGTGCTCGAACGATAGGAAGATCTTTTTGTTCTCGACTCGTTGTTTTACGATATATATCGAGAGACTATAGAGTTCGTTAACGAGTCTGACATTGCGTAACAAGCGTATCGACGAATTTTTCGACGAGCTATAAAATTGGTGAAAGATCGCGTCCATGTTAACACGCTTCTCTTTTTTTTTCTTTCAAAGTTCCGCATCAAAACAAACACGACGTGTGTCATATCAAAGATTAAAAAAAATTGTGTCTCTCAAATTTTTTAACATAAATCTTCGTTGTCTTCGCGATCATTAATCTTCTTCAATCCAG